CACACACACACACTCTCTCACACACACCCTCTCACACACACACACACCCTCTCTCACACACACCCTCTCACACACACACACACATACTCACACTCATACACACCCGCCCCGCCCCGCATGTGAACCTGTGTGTTTATAAGGATGAATGCAAGTGTGTGTGTTAATGTTTCTGCTGCAGGACTTGTGTGTTTAAATCACTGTGTGTGTGTGTGTGTGTGTGTGTTCCTCCAGGGTGCTGTTAAGGAAAGGAAAGGTCCGGATGGTCTCAGCGCGTTCGAGGCGGCCGAGAGCGAGACCATCAAAGATCTACTGAAGTGAGTCGGACGCTGCCGGCAGCGGAGAGGTTCTGACCACAACCACTGGATCCTGCAAACACTCTCTCACACACACGCACGCACACACACAGACACACACACACACACACACACACACACCTCTCTGTCTCTGGCTGCTGCAGCTCCTCTAGGTTTCCTTTTGTTTTCCTCCATGACCTTTTTATTTGATTTGGGGGAGGTGCTTAATTTCCCCTCTAGTTGATCGGAGTCAGCCATTGGCTGATGGACCTGTCACTCATGCCTCCCATAAGGACCAATGGGAACACCTGTCTAACACCACTAAACACGGACTTTAGAGTTCAGACTACAGCGAGTGAGCGAGTGTATTATGATGATGATCATGATAACATGTACATTTAATTTTCCGACTGTTAATTAGAAACGAGTGGTTTGTATAGTTCATAGAGCTGATGAATTTCCCTGCTTCAGCTCAACGTCATTCCCGTCACATTAGATGCTCAAAGAACAAATATTGCAGATGCTTGAATGGCTCTGGTGGCGTGCACGTTAGCTTTTGTGCCCCTTTGATTTTGTGTTGTGGCAAAAATAAATGGATTCTCAGCCTCTGTGCGCTTGTAGAGTGTTAAACAGGTTTGTTGAAGCGGATGAAGGCACGCTGTCTCTCTCTGTCTCCAGCAGGACGTCTCTTACTCCTGAGATGCCACCCTCTCCAGATTCTCTCTCTCTCTCTCTCTCTCTCTCTCTCTGCATGATGGTGTTTTAGCTTTTCAATACAGTCTTGCACTGAAATTCACATCGATTAGCGAATGAGCATTTTAAAGATCCATATCTGCTATTGTTGTGAAAAAGTCCCTTTGAAAACAAAAAAAACAAACAAATAAAACTATTTCAAATGATCAGTTTGATTGTCAAATTTGTAAAGCTTCAACCGATAGAGGGTGTTTTAAATTATGTATGTATAATTATGAGTATATAGATGTTGTTTATTATTATTTAACACATTAATATTATAATTATGTATTTATATATTAATTATATATTAGTAAAATTTGTATTCATATTTTTGTTGTTCTATGAGCATATATATATAAATGTTATTTATTACCATTTAATACATTTATATTAAGTATGCATTTAAGTTATTTTTGTTTGCTTATTTCGAATACATTCATATATATATATATATATATATAGGTTATTACTATTTAATACATTAATATTAAATATAATTATATATTTATATATTAATTATATATAAGTGAAATTTGTATTTGTATCATATTTTTGTTGTTCGATTAATGTGTATATATATACAAATATATGTTATTTGTTACTATTTAATACATTTATATTATGCATTTAAGTTATTTTTTGTTTGTTTATTTTGAAAACATTTATATTATAATATACTAATTATATATAGATATAATTTTATTCGCATATGATATTTTTATTATTGTTTGACAAATATATGTAGATAGATAGATAGATAATAACATATACCTATAAATGTGTTACCCCTTAAAAATAATGATTTTAATTGATGACAACACTGTTTTTCGTTTACTTTATTTTTCAAGTTTCGTTTTTATTTTAATCATTAAAATGACTTGTAACACTTTACAGTGAAGTAAAATTGGCTATATATATATCTTCCTTTTATAAATGATAATGTTAGTTCATGTTGCCTAATGCTATGTTGTAAAGTGTTATCAAAAGCTGATATAAAAACAGTGGAAGTCTATGAGATTTGATTTGATCATGAACACACTCGTGGTCACTGTGGGTTTTCTCTCCTTTAATTAAGTGCTTTTGTTAATTACCGGTCCACCCGGCGAGTCTCAGACCTTTGTCACTGTCACAACACAAAGAAATCAATTATTCAGGTGCTGCACAACTTCCTGATAAAGTTTAATGCGCCGTGAATATAAAACAGCTCGTTTTGTTTGGTCTTTGCCGGTGAACGTGCTCGATATGACCGGTGGAAGAATCACGATAAACACATCAGTCCTCAAGTCTAAAGGGACTCCGTTTACGGTCTTAATACACATTATTACTCAGAATTACTCCGTGGTGTGTTCTGAAGAAACTAAAGTGTTTGTCTTCAATAGCTTTCATCAAAATGTAATAACGTTGTCCACCTTTGAAACGACTTTCCTCTCTCTGCCTGACTTCAGTTTAATGTTAGCCAGTGCGCAGATAGCAGTCAGTCACTGTTTTTAATTCCTCCTTCGATATTGTTGTTGGAAATGCCTGTTTTTGGCAACACAATGGGAGTTTTTCATCAGAATTTCTAAATGAATCCAACAGAGAAGTGTTTCTCAGCGGGGGCGTTCGCATATCAAGCATTTAGACACAATCAAACACGGTAAGCATTCTAGTTTAGAAAAATTAATATGAATGCTTTTTGTTTGCTGATTGGCTGCGTAATTGAACGCCACATTTCCAAAGAGTTTATTCAGTGCTCATAAATGTAGCCTCATTTCTATTCACGTGACTTTTTTTGCTCTTTGGGAGATGATATTTCAAGTCCAGTCAAATCAAATGTCATGTTGCATTCAGTTACATATTTTTAAAATTATATATGGGCTAATGTTGGCTGTTATATATGGGTTAAAAAAATGCATGCTTTTAAAATATATATTATAGATAAAATATAGCCTATGATATGCACCACCATTCAAAAAAAGCTCAGTATGATTATGAAGCAAACCTCTTCTGCTCAGTAAAGTCGCATTTATTGGATCAAAAAATGAATCTAGAGTTTGAAAGAAGAAGTTTGCTTTCTATTTGAATATATTAAATGTGTTTTCTTCTCAGCTTTCAGTGTCACATGATCCTTCGGAAATCATGCTTAATGCTGCTCAAGACAGATTTCTTCTTCTTATTATTATTATAGCTAGTACACCATACTGACAAAAAAAAAGCAAGATTTGAAATGTATTGAACTCACGACTATAACAAAGATATAAATCAGGGCAGCACTAAAATATGTTTCCCATCTTTTAGTTTTCTTTGAAGATTTGTAAGCAAACTTTGAAATTTTCTCACAAAAGTTTGCATTTCTTCCAATTGCATGTGTAAATGTGGTATTTAGCCTCTAAAATGACCATGTCCACTATGTCAGGAAAAAAATATATATATGTATTTTCTAAAACTAAGGGATAAATATGATCCTCTCTCACACACACCCTCTCACACACACACACACACTCTCTCACACACACCCTCTCACACACACACACACCCTCTCTCACACACACCCTCTCACACACACACACACATACTCACACACCCGCCCCGCCGCCCCGCCCCGCATGTGAACCTGTGTGTTTATAAGGATGAATGCAAGTGTGTGTGTTAATGTTTCTGCTTGTGTGTTTGTGTGTTTAAATCACTGTGTGTGTGTGTGTGTGTGTGTGTGTTCCTCCAGGGTGCTGTTAAGGAAAGGAAAGGTCCGGATGGTCTCAGCGCGTTCGAGGCGGCCGAGAGCGAGACCATCAAAGATCTACTGAAGTGAGTCGGACGCTGCCGGCAGCGGAGAGGTTCTGACCACAACCACTGGATCCTGCAAACACTCTCTCACACACACGCACGCACACACACAGACAGACACACACACACACACACACACCTCTCTGTCTCTGGCTGCTGCAGCTCCTCTAGGTTTCCTTTTGTTTTGTTTTCATCCATGACCTTTTTATTTGATTTGGGGGAGGGGCTTAATTTCCCCTCTAGTTGATCGGAGTCAGCCATTGGCTGATGGACCTGTCACTCATGCCTCCCATAAGGACCAATGGGAACACCTGTCTAACACCACTAAACACGGACTTTAGAGTTCAGACTACAGCGAGTGAGCGAGTGTATTATGATGATGATCATGATAACATGTACATTTAATTTTCCGACTGTTAATTAGAAACGAGTGGTTTGTATAGTTCATAGAGCTGATGAATTTCCCTGCTTCAGCTCAACGTCATTCCCGTCACATTAGATGCTCAAAGAACAAATATTGCAGATGCTTGAATGGCTCTGGTGGCGTGCACGTTAGCTTTTGTGCCCCTTTGATTTTGTGTTGTGGCAAAAATAAATGGATTCTCAGCCTCTGTGCGCTTGTAGAGTGTTAAACAGGTTTGTTGAAGCGGATGAAGGCACGCTGTCTCTCTCTGTCTCCAGCAGGACGTCTCTTACTCCTGAGATGCCACCCTCTCTTTACTGTTAAAAAAAAATTGTACTTCACTGTCTTTTTTTGATCAATTTAATGGATCCTTGAATAAAATCGTAACGACCTCATTCATTTGAATGGTACTGTAAATATAAACACAAAATAATAATCAACTTTAATATTCAGTGAAGACAATTAGACTAGAGGTGCGTCCCAAATCGCGTACTTGTGCACTATTCTATGACGTTCTGTAGTATAAACAGTGTGAGTAGTGCGTTCACACTGAAAGTTCCAAAAAGAAAAAGTGCACTTTAAATACCGTTTATAAACGCAGTGTGGAATGTTGGACGCTTCATGCACTCAACTGTCTCCGCTTTAAAGGGGTCATATGATGCTGCTAAAAAGAACATTATTTTGTGTATTTGGTGTAATGAAATGTGTTTATGTGGTTTAAAGTTAAAAAAACACATTATTTTCCACATGCTGTACATTATTGTTTCTCCTCTATGCCCCGCCTTTCTGAAACGCTCAAAGCTCATCGTTCTGAAAAGCGAGGTGTGCTCTGATTGGCCAGCTATCCAGTGCGTTGTGATTGGCTGAATACCTCAAGCGTGTGACGGAAATGTTACGCCCCTCACCATACTGTGATGCGCTGCCCGGCCGGAGCGTCGAGACAAAAACATTAAATCCCATTATAAACGAGGCATTCGTTGCATCCAGTGGGGACATAATTACTGATTATAATGACTTATACTGTCTTTTAAGACAGTCTTCTAACCCTAACATAAAACCATGTCTGCATTTGTGATCGGAGAAATGACAAA